GCTACAGCACAGCTGATAGAGACAGACCTTTTAGAAATCAAATTTACCTTAATCCTTTCTAGTATTACTACTTATTTTTCCTCCAACTCTGCATGCAGCTTAGATAAAAAGGGGAAGAAGGCAGATGAATATTAGGACGAGAAACACAATTAAAACACGCACATGCAGTGATCTTTAGCAGGATTACAGAGTGCAGGATGAGACCACATCATGGGAAAACACAAGCACAAGCTTAAGCCACCCTAAGTGGGAAGGGAGGCTCAGTTTCCAGGTAGGCCTATGGCTACCACCACTGAAAGTGCTGCAATAGGAGGTTTTCAACACCAAGGCAGTTTTCTAACAGTTTTTAGACACATTAGTGTTGCCCAATTTTCACAGTATTCAGGTTTGATCAAACCTTATCCCATTTCCCATTTCCAGCTTCATGACAAAGCAGCATTCACTGTGTTATTTAGCCATGTTCAAAACTCCAAGCATTCTCTTACAAGGAAAAAGAAATGAAAATAGATTACCAAGAAGAACAAATAGAATAAATGCTTTACAGTACTTACGCTTCCAGCCCAAAGCTCAGTTGATTCTCCTATTAGTTTATAATATACATATACCGCTTCGCCCTTCTTAAAATTTACAAAGCGACAATCCGGACCTTTAAAATCCTGCATGGCCTTCCCTCGGCACATTAACACTGTTGAAAGAAAACAAAGAGAAGAGTATGACTTAAAAAAAATTTTACATGAAAAGTGTCTTTGCTAACTGGCAGTAAACAAGACCTCCTCGCATGCACCGCTTTGCTATTTTCCAGATTGGGTCAAGAGATAAGAACTAAATTGAAAGTATAACTAAGAAATTTCTAGTTATAATTAACACAAACAAACAAGCCAAGTTATAACTAAAAAGAAAAAAAAAAAAAAAGCAAGTTATAGCTAAAAAAGAAAAGCAAGCATTCTAGTCAAGACAAGGGTTTGACAAAGCACTGGAGAGCTGTACTTCAGGGGTGCGCTAAAAAGGTAATTATTAATGTTAAATCAGAAAGATAACATCTGTGTCCCAGCGAATAGGTCCTGAAATTATCCCAGAGAACACCCAGAGAGCGGGTTTATCACGAGAGGGATTTGCAGGAGGGAGGAAAAAAAAAAAAAAGCAGCCAAACACGGAGCTGCGGGGATCAGAAAACTTGGCCGAGGAGAGAGGGACGGCGCGCGTGGGCGTTGCGTTCCCGTTTCCCCGATTCTCCCCAGTTCCCGTGCCAGAGCCGGCGGAAGGAGAGGGCTTTGGGAAGAACCTCCGGGAGGCGTCTTCGCCCACAACCCCCGTTGCCGGGGCCGTGCCCGCCGCCCCCACTCACTGCTGCACTCGAGGTCGGCGCAGCGCTTGCGCTCGGCGAAGCGGCGGCCCAGGTCGGGCCCGGCGGCGGCGGCGCAGCGCGGGCCCGGCGGCGGCGGCGGCAGCAGCAGCAGCAGGGCGAGCAGCAGCCGGGGGTCCGGCGGCGCGGCTGCGGCCATGTCGGCGGGCGCCGGGGAGGGAGGGAGCCGGGCGGGGAAGGAGGGAGCAGACACGTCAGCAGCGCCGGCGGGAGGGCGATGTGGCGGGGGAGGGACAAGCCCGGCCCCGCCGCCGCCGCCGCCGCCGCCGCCGCCGCGGGAGGAGGGCAGCGTACGGACCCTCCCTCCCTGCCGGCGGCATCCCCATCCCGATCCCTCGGAGGTAGCACCACGGGCCGCTGCTCCGAGCAGGAGCCCGGCTACTTTCCCGCTTCGCAGGCCACAAAAGAAGGAAGATCCTGCCCCTTATTTGTGCGGGTTTCTCTAGCTGAGGATCGCTGGAGTAACAAGATCCTACAGAAAGGGCGTAGGTGCCGCCCTGTAAGGACACGACAGATCCAAACATGCACTTGGCTGCTCTCCCTCCTGCCCCGCCGAGTAGTTCTTAATCTGTGCTGGAGAGGAGCAGCCGCCACTTCCCCGGTGACCTCCGAGAGTTTGAGGTTACACCTGCGGTGCAGCGGGCGGAGGAGTTCATTCACCCGTGATCCCACTGGGGAAAGTGCTGGGTTTCACTGCGAGCAGCCGAAAGCGCAGCACTCCCCGACAGGCCTATCCTTGCCCTTCCGTAGCCACAGCTTCCACTTGCTGGTACATTTTAACTGTTGAGTATTCGCAAACTGAAAGATGTGCTACTCACAAGTGTGCCTGCACATTGCCTTTTCTTCACATCCATCACCTTAATATTGCCTTAGAGATCTAAAATTGCAAAATGACAGCAGAAGTCACAATGCAGATGAACAAAACTTTTTTTTCAGGCCCATGTTATTTGTTCAGCACAGTAGCCTGAGTAGACAAAAAGAATAAAAGATGTGGCTAAGAAAAGATAGGTGACGTAAGAGAATCCTCTTGCTGGTGAATCAAATGACCAAATTTTTAATATTTTTTTTTCTACTTTCCACAGCAAATTCTGAAGCTGCTCCCAAAATGAATAGACAGTCACAGAACTGATAGTCAAGGTGAATAATTCTACTTTTTTCTTTTTTTGTGCATGTCAAAGCAGCTGATATTTTTTCAAGAGCCTTTTAAGAGCCCTTTTAAATGCTACGTCTCAAGAGTTAGCAATCACTGTTGCTAATTGCATGTGTTCCTCTTGCATCCTCATGCCTATTGATTTTCACTCCAGACTTTCATTTCCACAGTCTCATTGTACAAGGCCTTAGATCCAGGCTTAGTTACTAATGTGTAATCTCTGAAAAATGCGTGTTTCATTTTCAGCCCCCGCCTAGAGCAGTTTAATATTTTAATCACACTATGAAAAAGTGTCAAGGTAGAAACAGGTGATGGTATCTCTTTGCCCAGGATCCCATGGACACCCTGCCATTTCTTACAGTCCTGTGTATCCCCAGGACCCACATGCTACAGGAACGCAACGATTCACCCAGTGCTCATGTGTGTTCTCTAGGCCTAGTGCAGTACAGTGGCTGTAGCTCTCCTGCAATTTTGTTGACATTTTTGTGTTTCACATCTTAGAAAATGAAGTGATACCTATTTGCCATCACTGATATTGGCTGATTAAAAGCTCAAAGAAAGCCTAATTCAGAAAATCTACAAGTTTGTCACACTTTACAATATGGAAGCCACATTTTATGATACCTGTATGAATGAAAGATAAGTATTCTTTCCCCAACATTAATATTTCCTGTTGTGTAGTGCCCACACTATTAGGTCCAGTTTGTTGTGAAGAAAGAGCTGTTTTACTATTTTCCATCAGTACAAATTATCAAGCTTATCTTTATTAAAGACCAAGATAAAAGGTAATGGTGTCTGTGGTTGTAAAGACAAGGGCAAGAAAGGGAGATGTGAACAAAAACAAGATGACATACTTCTTGTATAAGTCACTGCCTTTATTGTGCAATAATGAGTAGCTTGCAGTTGATACACATACACAAGTTTACCACTGCAACTGTCAAGTATTTCCTACAATTTCAAATATTTCAGGGTAATAATGCAGCCACTTGTTAACATACCCAGCTTTCGTCAATGTGTGAAAGAAAAATATTTCACTTAGTTCAATTAAGATATTTCAGGCAAGATTTCCTTCCAGTCTTCAACCCCAATCTTGGAAACATGTATTCAGCTATGAGTATAGTCCCACTGTACATGAGGTATCTAACGTTCATCTGTTCTTACAAAGCAGTTCTTATGTATTTTCTGCACTAAAATACCTACTAAAGTAGCTGATACCTATTAAAAAGATCAGTTGGCTAAGTTTACCTAAGGGTCAGGAAACACTCACTTATGTCTGACACAGGAAAATAAAAAGCTAAAAGTAAACGTCCTTGCATGCAAACATGAGAACTTTTACCAAAAAAAAAGGGGGATAAGTTTGATTCTGAAATTAGAATACTGAGCTAACAGAAGATCAGGAGTGTTGTAGGAAGTGACATCAAATTTGGGGAACACCAGTGATCAGTGAGGCACTCACACAAGGTACAAATTATAAAGGACAGTCAAAGAAAATGGCACTGCTAAACATGTGGTGCTATGTGACAGTTCATTGTTATCAGCCAAGTAAGTTAATTATCCATTAATAACACTACTTATGAACTGAAATGCTGGACTTTATAGGAAGAACACAGGATTAAAAATAAAGGAAAAGGGAAGGGAGACTTCTCTTATCCCCACATTGATTTATTAAATACCGTATTAAGGTATGATATATGAGGTTTAAGTGTTTGAATGCTGCAAACAACTGTTCTGCCTTGCACTATTCCCGACCCTGGTTATTGATCACAGCTGAACCAGGACACTGTATCACACGAACCTTTAATCTGAGTTTATTATTTACTCACCCTTCCATGCCAGGGCAGTTCAGAAAAAAAACCAGAAACAAACCAACAACTCTGTGAGATCTTACACGGTAAACTGGACTTTACACACATCAAAACAGTCCAGGGCAAACTCAGTTCCAAAGTGGTTTAAAGAAACAAGTTCCAGCGCAAATTTGTATAAACCAGATGCTGCGGTTAAGGCAGACGGATTCCCAAAATCCAGGTACTCTGCGGGAGCACAGGCAACATTATTGCTCTACAATGCATGGGATTTTCATCCGGAATCTTTTCCTTCTGTAGAACGTTATGATTTACAAAGGAACGGGAAAGTAGCAATACAGCTAATGGAAGGGGTGGCAGGAAGCGCTCGTTAATTTAATTTTAGAGTGACGAGTGCGTAAGCCACGCTTCTGCTCATGCTCTGATCGTGGTAAATGTAGAAATAAACACCTCTCTGCCACACCGCTGCACACACCCAGCCACCCCCCGTTCTCCATCTCACCCCTCATTTCCCCACTCCCGCACGCAGAGAACAGCGAAACGCTGCCGAGCCGCCGCGCACCCCCTGCCCTCATGGCGGCCGAGCCGCGCGGCCCTCAGCGCGCACGCGCAGGAGCCGCCCCCGCCCCGCGCTTCCCGGGCCGCGGCGCCTGCCGGGATCTCCCGCCCGTGGTGCCCGCGGGGCCGGCGTGAGGCGGCGGCACGGCCGCTGCACGCCCGGGCCTGGCTGAGCCCCCGCTTTCTCTTCGGCCGGCGTCTTCCGCCCACCGAGCTGCAAGGTGAGGTCGGAGCCCGGCTGCCCGCGGCGCCATGGACAGCTTCCTGGAGGAGGAGGAGGATGGGGAGCCGGCGGCGGCGGTGGGGAAGAGAAAGAGGAGCCCTGTGGCTCGGGCCGCCTTGCAGCCACCCCTGCACCTGCCCTTCCTGCGGCCGCAGCCGGGTAAGGGCTGAGCGTTTGTGCGTTCTCTTTGAGAGCTCCTTCGGGGAGCCGTGGGAGTGGTGGCACAGAGTTTCAGCTTCTGCTCGCCAAATCGTCCGCTAGCGCCGGGGAAGAGGCTCGAAATAACCATAGTTGTGTTCTGAGCCGGCGGTGTGCCCTTGCGGGCAGGAGGGCCCTTGGTATCATTGGGAAGAGCACTGCCAGCAGGTCGAGGAAGGTGATTCTGCCTCTCTACTCGGCAGTGGTGAGGCACGTGTGGAGTGCTGTGCCGAGTTCTGCGCTCCTCGGGGCAGGAAAAACACGGAGCTCCAGGAGAGAGTCCAGCAGAAGGCACCAAAGGTGATTCGGGGTCTGAAACATCTCTTATGAGGAGCGACTGAGGGAGCTGAGCCTCTTTGGTCTGGAGAAGACTGAGAGGGGGTTTCATTAATGCATACAGATATCTCAAAGGCAGGTGCCTTTGCCTGATGCCAGACTTTTCAGTGGCGCCCAGCAACAGGACTTGGCACAGTGGCTAGAAACTAAAGCACAAAAAGTTGCACCTCAGCATTAGGGAGATCTTTACACTGAGGATGGCAGAGCACTGGAACAGGCTGCCCAGGGAGTTTGTGGAGTCTTCCTCTCTGGAGACTTTCAAATCCCACTTGGACACATTCCTATGTCACCTGTTCCAGGTGACCCTGCCTTGGAAGAGGGTTGGACTGGATAATCTTCAGGGGTCCCTTCCAACCCTGATGGTTCTCTGACTACCTGACTTAGCCACTGTGTGAGCTATAGCTTCCAGGTAGGAGGTGTCTTTGTGAGCTCTTCATGTGCCTTGCAGGTGGCTTTTTATGGATGAGCATTGTTGTAGGGTCATACAGCCATGAGCATTAAACAAACTTCATGGGAATGAAGTTTCAGTTTTGTGCTGGTTTCAGTATTAATTGAACTACTATTGATGTAAAAAGACCAGGTGGTCTCTTTGCAGCCTTGTACTCAAATAAGAATAATTCTCTACATTTACCTTTGTAGGAATTGCTTAGCCTTTGTTACTGGAATGGTCTCTTTGTGTGCATGCAAATCTGCAGCACCGTGGGATCACAAACTTAGGTGATGATTAATAAGTAAAGAGAGTAGTCCCCAAAATATGACAAAATTTACTGTGACATTATCAAAGCAACATGACTCCCTGATTCTAGTAGGGCAGTAGTGTGACATTTGATGGCTATTCACTGTTTCAAATGAATGGAAATTTCAAGCACAGCTGTGTGCTGTGTATGGAAAATACCATTTCATATCACATTTCCAGCTTTTCCCATAGTCTTACTTCCCTGTGGACTAACAGTTGTGTTTATCTTCAAAAGCACAGAGCTTAAGGTGACTCTTTGTAGTAGCCATACAAGGAATGTAGACACTGAAATGGAGAGCATGTGGCTGAGTAAGAGCTGTGATAGCTGTGGGCTCAGTTGATTTTTTTTGTTTGTTTGGTTTTTGGTGTTTTATTTGGTTGGTTTGTTTGTTTGTTTGTTTCCAGTATCTTCCGATGAACACAAGTTAAACTTCAGGAAGAGCAAGGAAGCGTGTTTAAGTTACATTCAGGATGCCTTGCTCCAAAAGCAGTGGAAAAGGGCTGCAGAGTTCCTGACCTGCTACGTTGAGTCACTAGAGAAGGACTATTCCAGAGAACACATTGGTCCATCAGAGGTAAGCCCATTTTCCTTATCTGTGTTCTTTTGCTGTTGAAAAAATACTTGCATAGCAGCATCTGTATACTTCAGGACCAACATATTTCTTAATTAGCTAATCACAGGCTTGATTTTTAAAAAAAAATAGATCCTTGACACAACAGAAGAAAACTTGGCTTGGTATAAGTTCACTCTGCCAGCACTGTATCTATGAAAATTCCAAGTAGTCTTCTAAAATGGAAAAGCAGTTAATGTGTTTGGTTCTGGCATGCCATCAGTCAGAATGGGTTTGCAAGTTGGTGGCTTATTCAGATTGTTACCAGCTCTTCCAGTAGCTGCAAAACTCCTTGCCGGTGTTGAGATGGAAGCAGATGGAAGGAAAAGGATCAGAGTTTTTAAATAAGTGGAGTACTTGAATATGGCTAGCTTGCAGACCTTGGAAACAAGTGCATGCAGTTGGGGAGCTACATCAAGTTGGAAATAATCCTTGCTGTTAAGGTCAAAGAGTTGTGTATACTTGGTGTCTTAGTAGGGTCATAGCAAAGAAGAACATATTTTTTTGGTGAAGGGAGGAGGAGCCCTCTGGCATGCAGTTTTCATAAGCTCTTCTGGAGTGCTGCGTTTATAATGAGCAATTCTGAACCACCCACTGAATGACTCTAAAAGTCCTACTGGATGAGTGGGTAGGTCACTATAGCAGTGGATAATGCTTTGTAGTATTTTTTATTTGCAGTTCAAATGTACATTGTTTTCATGTCCTTCAGTAGCTATAAGTTTAGTAAGACTGGATATGTGGTGTCTGTTGCCATTTTTGTACTAAGGTTGATTTTGATTTTCTTTCTTCCCATAAACAGGTGATTTGGAGAATAGGAACTGAAATTTTTTATCATTCCCAAAGCAGCATGAAAGAGTTCAACTATTTCATGGAACAGATGAAAACTTTAGGAGTAAAAAGGTACTTGAAGGTGAGTGTGTTTAAAGCAGCCCTGATGATTTTCACATTTACCTGAACACTTAGTTGAATATTAATTTCCAAATCTCTTTTGAAATGTACTACTGACATTAGTTAAAAAAACTCAAAGCCAACATTTGAATTACCAATTGCATGGTGTTTGAAGGTCATTTTATACATAACCTTATCTCATTTGGGCTGTATGTTTGATCACAGATGCATGTTCTCAGTCCTTAGAAGTGCTTAAAAACCCTTTAATTAAGCTTTGAATTTGAAGCAGTTAAATTATTTTTCATGTGTGTCCCAATGACATGTAAATGCAGGTAATTACCTGCAAAGTTTTATTTCCAGTCCTTAATTTGACCACTGTGCTCCTGACTAAACATTTTTACTTAAATTTTGCCTTATTACCCTCTCATTTTTTGAGTAGCTAATCTGATTATAAAACTGTATAAAACACGGCTGAAGGTGGGGGCAGGATTGTGTTTTTTTTTCCTGTGGTGTCTCATTCAAACCTATATTGTTTTGGTTTCCTTGGCTGTTTCTCACTTGGGATGGTGCTTCTGTCTTTCATTCCATTGTTAAATGTCTTCAAAAGAAGTTCCATACGAGGGTTTTCTGGAGCTAACTGAAGGTTTAGGCTTTTATCTTATGACACCCAACATGGTAGGGTGGTGGGACATCCCTCTTTCAGGTGCTTTGAAAAATCTGCAAAGCCCAGCTGGCTTTCCTCAGGTCATTTTTAGATCTTCTGAAGTAGGTACAGCATTTGTTAAAGACAAGCAGGTTTTTGAGGCAACACAAATAACTTAAATTCTTCATTACCTTGTGTTGGCAATATTTTTTATTCATGTCAGTAAGTGTCCTCTTTCTCTGCACATGTGTGTAGAACTTTGCTGTATTGCTGAGAATCTCTGCATTTGAGTGTGAAACGCTGTGGTTTGGACTGTTTGGGTTGCAGGTCTGCTTGGAGCATATCTTTCATCTCCTCTGTAATGGGCAAATAGATGAAGCCTACCAGAACCTGTCCCTGGCAGAAAGCTGGAGGTTTGGAGAGCAAACAGCCATTCAGGATAAGGAAATGAAGCTGATTCAGGCTTACAGGGGACTCTTGGACTACTATAGCTGGTCTAAGCAGAAGAACATCCTGTTAGAGCATGGTAAGTATGTTTTGGATTGAGCTGTAGCTTCAGTTTGCTCATTCAGATGCTGTGGTTTGTAATGACACCTTTTCCTTTACTAGACTTCAGAGTGTGATGGTGTGGCTGGTACAGAGTTCTGTATCAGCAGTGATGGTGGCGCCAAAATAGCTTTGTGAAGTGCCCTGAAATGCTGTTCTGAAAATTTCTCCCTGTGTCCAGCCAGCATCACCTAAAATAATTATCAAAGGGATGCATTCCCTTAAAGCAGTGGCTTAATAGGTGTGCAAGTACTTGATTGCTTCTGGAATGTTGAGTGATAGCAAAGCCCTCAACACTTGTGTTTGAATTACAGTTTCTTTAAAGATATAGAAGTTGCTACATGTGTTTTATCACTTACACTAGACCTCTGTTTCTCTGAAAACCAGATGTTGAATTTGGATTGTGGACCTTGTGCTGGTAACATCTCTTGGAGTCCTACTCATTGTGCTCCATAAATTGAAATTGATTATAAATTTGAATGAGGAACAGTGAAAATTTCTTGTTTCAATACTGAGGAGTCTTTTCTTAAAAGCTCTCTGACTAGAGTACTTGCTTAGCAAAATGTGATCATCCCTTAGATGTAGCACTTCAAGTTCCCTGTGTTTGGCTGAGTTATAAATAACTTTTTGATTTTTCTTTGTGCTTTGGCAGGTGAGGATGGATTTTCAGACTTGGCTGTTGAGCAGGAAATGCATGGTTACTTTCGTAAGGCAGCAGTGAGCTTGAAGGAGATTATTAAAATACCTGGAGTCTGGGACATCTTTGTGAAATGCTATGTGGATGTAAGGGAATATTTTACAGATGGCTTCCTTTCGTGTTTCCTTGTTTAATTTTCTTTAAATGCAGATTATTTTCTCTGTCTGAGTGAAAACAGCATTTCAAAAGCAACACATTTGTATGTGTGTGTCACTGGCTTTGATAGAGAGCACAGTGTATTCCTGGTAGAGCTGCAGAGCTTGAGCAGAGTACAAAAAGAACTTTTATCTGTGCACTGTCAAGAAAAAGAAATAGACAAACAGCTTACATATTTTGTTTTTGTGGGGCTGCAGAAATTGGAGCATCACTGCTTTACTTTAAATTCCTCAAAACAGTTTCTCTGATTTTTGGCAGGGCAGTGTTTTCTCTAGATACATGAAATGTTAGAGACGCCAAATATGCAGCCCCTCTGTGTTTTGGTTTAGGTTTTTAAAATATCTGCTTAGGATTTTTAATTAAGAATTAATAATTTTAAAGAGATCTTTTACTTTTTTTAAACACTGATAAGCTCTGACTTCTCTAAGCACATCTTAAGAATTTTCCTTGGTGCTGTCAGATTGTCTTTAGAGATATGGCAGGTGCCTTCAGCATCTCTTTCCAGTGAGAAAGTGATGGTAATCCTTTGACAATTAAGTAGGTGTTAAGGCATTTTCTCCCAGAGTAGCTTCTGTGTGTGAATTGTTGTCTCTCTGTGCTGAGATAAGCCAGTAAAATTAAGACAGGAGAGTATCTAATTAACTAATGTGCTTCACTCTTAGATAGACTGTGCTATTGGATGGCTCTGTGGCAGTCCAAAATGAGTTGTAAGAGTTTGGTTGCCTGTATCTGACAAACTAATGACAGACTTAACTTCCAGTTGTTGGAGTTCTATGGAGACCACAACGAGGCCCACCAGGTGTTAAATGAATATGCCTACAACTCCAAGTTCCCAGCTAACCCCAATGCTCATGTCTACCTCTATCAGTTCCTCAAGAGGCAGGGTGAATCAAAAAAAACCCTCATATCTGCACTGAAGGTAGGTATCCCTTAGGAGATACAGTCTGTGTCAGTCATGTGGTGTTCTGACAGCTTGCTTGAGCTCTGTAATATTATTTATCCTATTGTATTTTTCGTGGGAAGTAGAAGGTTAGAGGGAAGTTAGTGGGAGGGAGCAGAATCCTTTACTGTCCTTCAGTTCCAGTTCTTGTTTTGCCTTTAACTGGTACATCATACCACTTAAAAGTCAGTAAGCAAGCTTAGAGAACATGTTCACATGTTACAGAAGTCTGTATCAGCAGTCTTGTGCACAGCATGCATTGATTTCTCTTACAGTTTGATCTTTACAATATTGCACAGATCATTAAATGCCTGCTCTTTCACATATTGATCCTGTCTAGCAATTAGTTTCTTTGCTTGTTTTCAATGAGATGTGCATTAAAGCTAAAAGGTAATGTCTACTGGTTGTTGGTAGACAAGACTTTGCTGGGTTAAGCTTTTAAATTCCTGCTTTCCTTGCTCTTGGTGTACTGCTTGCAAGCCATGTTTTGCCACTTGATGGCACTAATGTGCTTTTGTTAGTGGAAGTGTTTAAAAACAGGTTTGTGAGGCTGTTTTGTTTGGTTTAGACTTTGAAACTCTAGCAGATTTGTATGAAATTCTCCTCAATGCATTTTAGCAATGGTTTTACACGTAAGTGTCTTATAAAACAGAGATGAATCATAGAAGTGGTTTGATTAGTCCAGAAACTGATCCAATGCACAGAGCAGTGGACAGGGGAGCTAAAACTGTCCTAGGGAGAAAATGACATTTCCTTCAAAAAAGGGGACACTGGATATGGATTTGGGCTGCTCCTTCACAATGTTGTATTTGCCACATACAGTTTTTGTCAGCAGCCATCAGGGTATTTCATCCATGGTGTCACAGAGCAGTGTCACAGATAGCAAAATGAATCTAGAGATCCATTCTTTATATCAAGGCACCAAAGTACCAGATTGCTTATTTTTCTGAGCTAAAAGCACCCAAAGCTCTGAAGCCTGTGCTTTTCTTGGTCAAGTAGAAGTCTTCAAGAGCTTTCACAATAACTTATCTGGGTTTTGTAATTTATTTTTCAGATCTTGCATGATATTGTTCCTTCTCATGAACTGATGATAGATTTTAATACCATGCTTCAGAAATCAAGTAAGTCTTCACCTTTGTTCAGTTCATTTATGCTAATTTCAGAAAACTATTCTGGATTTTCCTACAGCTTTCTTTCTGCTTTTGAAAGTAGTTTTGTTCCATAAGAAATAATGCCAAAAAACCAACTCAAATCCCAACTTTCCAATTACCATAACCTCTTAGCTGGATGTATGAGCAGTCATTTACAAACTTGTGTAAACAAATGCCTTTCTCATTTTAAAGGCTGAACAAAGAAAACCGTTGTAAGGCACAGGCAGGATCTCAAAAATAACTTAATTTTTTTTAGGTACCCTACTCCGAATTCCAAGGTCTTCATTCCATTTTTGGGATCTCTGTTTTATTTATTATTTTTTTTTCTTGGAATAGTTCTATTCTTTAGTTCATTGTTACATGAACAATGTAACAATGTTCCTTCTCTTTAAAGGAGCATTATCTTCAAGCTGGTAGAAAAGTCTTCCAATTTGAAGACTATTTTTTTCATTCTGATCAATTGTGTTCCAGGCTGTCTGTCTTCTTGTGGCTTGGCATGTCCCAGCAGGTCAACAGATTGGTGAAATGTACATCAGTAAAGATTGTTCTCTCTTCTGAAATGATGAGGGTTAATGACTTGAAACTGACAGGGGGAGGTTTAGAAGAGGTTTTGGGAAGACGGTCTTGATTGTCAGGGTGGGGAGGCACTGGCTCAGGTTGCCCAGAGAAGCTGTGGATGCCCCATCCTTGGAAGTGTTCAAGGCCAGAATGGATGGGGCTCTGAGCAGCCTGGTCTAGTGGAAGGTGTCCTTGCCTATGGCAGGGGGTTGGAACTTGATGATTTTTAAGGTCTTCTCCAAGCCAAAGCATTCTATGATTCTTCTTTGGGAGGGATGAAACCTTTTGCCTGACACCTCCCTTTTTCAGTTCACGTGTGACTCATTTGCCAACTTTTCAAACTAATAAGAACAATCTTCTGTTTTTAAAGAAATTTATGCCAATAAACATAACTTATGTTTAAAGTAGTAGCATTTGGGTGGGCCAGAATGGAGAACTGTATTTCACTCATGCCTTACTAAGCAGTTCATCCTGATCTGTGTAATTCATTAATCAGCCTCATCTTTTTGCAGAGAAGAGAAAAAAACGTCGAATGGGCCTAGAAGTTATTTTTGCAGCCTTGGATTATGCTGGCTGGAAAGAAAATGCAAAAGCATGGAGCTGTTTGGCAAGACAGGTGAAACAAATTGTAATGTAAGTAGCTCTGATACAGGGTGTTGAAACAAATGTGTCAAGTCTCCACCTTCTGTCAGTCTACACAGTGACTCTCTGTGCTCTGTCTTCATTTTTGCCTTTTATACACGACTTCAGAGTATCTTGAAATATACTGGGCATCTTGGTCACTGTATGGGAATGTCACAGATAGTTTTATAGAGTCCTAGAACAGTTTGGGTAGGAAGGGACCTTAAAGATCATCTTGTTCCAGCTCCACTGCCGTGGGCAGGGACACCTTGGCTGGATGCCAGGTACCCACCAACGTTACTCTATGTGTTCCCTCAGCAACTGGATGGGGAGAGAAAATATAGCGAAGTGTTCACAGGTTGAGAGAAGGACAGGGAGAGACCACTCACCAAATACTATGTCGGGCAAAACAGACCCAGGACCTCGCCATCAGAGTGAAGAATTTCTTCCTAATATCTAATCTAAACCTGACCCTTGCTAGTTTAAAGCCATTCCTCCTTGTCCTGTCTCTACCTGCACTTGGAAAAACTCCCTCTTCATGTTTCCTGTAGGTTCCTTTGAGGGGCTGGAAGGAGTTTGTGTTGCTGAAATGCTTGGTTTAGGGGCGTTGTTGCCTAACAGTAACAACTGTTTGGGATAAGTTAGTCTTTAAGTATGCCTGGAGTAACACAAACCTTTCCTAAGGACAGAGCAACCCCTTCATACTACTCATTTGTTGACAAACCTGGAGAAACTTCTATATTACTATTGACAAACTGGCACACAAGTGAAAGGCTTGCTTAATTTCACATCATAATCAGTGCTATTGCCAAGGCTTAGTAAGATTGCTGGAGTTCACTTCCAGCCTCACAAGTGTTACCGAGAATTAAAAAAAACATTAGTTTTATATAAAAATGCTGGTTATGAGTGTTTTGGTATAAAGTCAGTATATCTATGCTGGCAATTTATGAGATTTGTAGCAAGCTGATTATAACATTCAGTCTCCTAATAATCTTGCTATCACAATTTAACCTTTTCTGTAACTTGTTTAACCTTTTTCCAGCTCTGGGAAGCATCTTGACTGGATCAAGCAAGAGTGGAGCTCCAGGAAGGACTGGTGGCCAGCCTTCCATTTTAGCCGTTACTTGGCAAAAAGGAATTGGCAGGAAAATAAAAGCCTTTCATATGAAAAAGCTCTGGTGGCTGGAGTCCTACTTGGAAAGGGTATAATTTTTTTTTTCACTACATAGAACAAAAATAACGTCTAGTTCTAGACCTAATGACATGGGTTGCAGCTGATCTGTTGCCTGGATGAAATGCAGTTTCTTTCTTCTAAAAAAAGATTCCTGTGTTTGGAGCTGAACAAGAAAGGTATTTAAATTGGTTTGATTTTTAACAGTGGGGAACTAGTTTTATCATGGTTTAGAATTCAGTTTTATCTGGCCTTGTTGAGCTGCCACAATACTATTTGTCCTGTTTGACCTTCAAACCATAACTCCAAAAATGCACAACACCCTCCTGATGGAATATTGTGAGGACTGCAGGGAGTTTGCTTGCTGGATCCCAGCCTAGGCAGCGTCTCAGCAATACTGGGGGTCAGCTGGTCATTAACAACTGTGGGGATGTTCTAATGCAGGAAGGAGGAGGGAGAGTCTTGAATGAAAACCATCAGCAGTTTGGTAAGAAAGTGAAGATCATTACCTCTTTAGTAGCATTATTTGAAATGCTGCCAAAACCAAGGGAAGGATCAGGCCAAGAATCAGCTGCTAAATTTAGAATGGAAATATGGTCTGGAGACAATGGCTTATACAGTGGTATGGACTTCTGGTTGATAGGCAAAGTTCATTGTCAGCTTTTGTATACCTTCAGCACTTCATAGAACAATTTCTCATACTGGAAACTCTTTGGATATGTTTTGTTTTGCTTTCAGTAGTATCAGATATCTCCCTATATTTCCAGATGGCTAATAAAATCGTTCCAAGTTCAGATTTTCCTGAATGAAGTTTCAGTACTTGTTTCAATGTGAGCCTCTATTTTCCTTATCCAGCATAATAAATTAATATATGATATCAGTGTTGCTTTACTCCTGAATGTTTTTGACTCACAAAATTTTACTTTCTGATCTAATTTGCAGAGCAAAAATGAAAGAGAAAAAAATATTTTGCAAGATAACAGACATTTAGATACATGTAGAATGTTTACTGGGCTAAGTGAGGATAGATTATTTAATGCTGCAATTCTGTCTCTAATGAGCATGTCTTGGATATTAATACCTTTAATTACTGAAAAGTTTCTTAGCTGTCTGCATAATATTTAAACAGTGAAAACATTTTGTATTTGCTTGTATCATGGTATAACTTAGTGTTGGTTTTTTCTCTTTCCTTAGATTGCAAATACTTTAAATATGTGTCACACCAAGGCTGCAAAGCTCAGCTGAAAAGGTTTCGGATGCTGAAGAAGTTTGTGAACAGGCACAATCCTGTCTACCTGAGAATATCTGGTCCTCCAGATTCCTCTGTTCAGCCTTGATGAGAAGATGTCCTTAAGGTTCTTGGTGTACTTTTTCCTCTGTGTAAAACTGGCTTCTGTGTTGGTGCTACTCCAAAACTTCTAGGCAGACCCTATTGACTCAGTACTAGACTTTTTTAATATATATTTATGTAAAAAACTTTGTTTTTTATTTATTTTATAATAAAATGAATATAAATCAACTGATAATGTCAAAGAATTTCTGTAATGTTATTCTCATATTTGTCTAAAATGCAAACAATGTTGATTTCAAATACATCTTGAAAGAGCAGAGGCACAGAAATACTGAGAAATTCTCTACATGCTGGAAGAGACTTTTTTTTGCAGTCATGCCCATGAATTGAAATATGCAGTGTTGCTGTGTTTGGAAAGCAAACGTTGATGTGTTATCACAAACCAGAATTCCAGTTTGCTTGAAAACAACGACAAAATGGTTTCCACATATTACTTCTGTTTTAATGCCAGATCTGTAGAATTCTGTAGGGTGAAGTGCTTGAACCTCCCTCTGGGATTGAAACAAAGATGTCTTTAGCAGCAGAGTAGGTTATGGATAAGTACAGCTGTGCTTTTAAAAACTCAGTGTTTATCTGGGATTTTGGTCTGGGTTCACATGGGTCTTGTGAGAAGTGCCTTAAGACAATGTGTCTTAAACATTAAGTTTAGTTAAACATTAATTTAATTAAGAAATACTTGCTATAACTATGTTTGCTTGGGTAATTACTCATCATTCCTAACCCTAGTACTTGTTTACTTCTGATTCCCTAAGAATGCTGCTGCCTCATTGTGTAATAGGGGGTTGTGTTGGAGATCTTCAGCTGGATTTGGCTACTTTAATTTAGATTGTGAAGCTTCAAAACGTTCTTCCCCAGCATCCCATGAGGTGTCCCCCTACCCTGGGAAGCTACCCCTCCTCAGGTGAGAGAGATGATCCAGATTTGCTCTCAGTGTCCATCTCACTGGGGTTTTATGCCTGGACGTGGGCCTAAAGCTGTCCTGGGACAGCCCTGGCAGGCAACCAGGTGTCCCTTCCCTTTCAGACACATGGTGTCCCTTCCCTGGAGTATTTAATTTGGCTTCCTGCCTGCCATTGTGCCCCTCTGCTTCCCTGGACTTGCAAAGATGGACTTTGATGGGCTGGTGACTCTCCTGTGATGACCCTGAGAGCATCTCAGCAGAGTGTGACTTGGGCTTCCCCTTGCCATTGTCTGCCTGTGTTCCTTTGTGGGTATGCACAGGAGCTTTTATCATTAACCCAACACAAGTAGTATAAAAGCTGAATGCTTGAAGCCCTGCTGCTTGGTGAGAGCTCCCATGAAATTTCCTGTTGTCCCCACAGCTTCCTGTGGAAGATGTGTGTGCCTTGCAGCTACTGAGACTCTACTGAGGAAGAAATGTGAAACAAAGCATCAGAGGTTGGGGTGGAGATAAGGAGAGTGAGAGGATAAAGAGGAGCTTGATGTCTGAAAAATCTGCTAATCCATGGTGGTGCTTCCAGCTTTCTCCTGTGACCTCTGGAAGCAGGATTGCTCTGGGGGATCATGTCCTCTCCAGGTGCTAGAACTATCATGCTGCAGTCAGCAATTACAAGAGTACAGTCACAGCTTTTGTGTAACTGTCCCAAACATTACTCTTCTATGTCCTGCAAAAAACTTGCTGTTTCCTGACACCACAGTACTTGCACCTGAGACAAACCAGTAGATCACAAATCCAGAGTGAAACTTCTGGTCAAATCATTCTGTGTGCACTGTGTTTTCAAGCCTGTGTGTTGTACTTTGAATGTGACAACTCTTAATGGGTTGGAATGGTCATCTTTGAATTCTGTGCTAGATTTGGTTTTCCTATCATTTTTCCTCCCCATCTTGTGGGCAAAGCTTCTGTGAGGGTTTTTTTTTAATCATGCATGAAAGAAATAGCTCCCTGTCCACGTGGCTGTGATCAGTTATCTCATCCTAGTTATGGAAGAGCAAATTTAGGGAAGTGTTGTCCTCCAGCACAGGCTGAGAACGATGTGTATAAACACCTGCATCCCTAGCTGATGGGAAGGGCTTGCCTCAAGCATTACTTACCAGAGGGGAAAGTGTGCAAAGGTCTCATGCATTTTAAATTAGTTTAATATCAAGTGGGATCAAACCCACAAAAATTGATTGGCTTGAGTACAGGATTACTGCAGAATATCACAGTCAACTTGAGGTTGTGCTGGTGCCTTAAATTAATTTTTCCTCCTTCACTCCTGAATTTCTTATTTTAGCCCTTAATGCATACCTGAATTTGTGGGTAACTGCAACATCTCTGAAGTCACTTGTTCCTATGGTTAATTGCTGCCTTAACTTGATTGTATTTTATAACCCCTGTTCAATCTTCATGAAACCACACCCAAGTTTGGTGCATTTCAAAAGCTGAGAAAAATGGTAGTTAGGAACTGAAAATTGTTCACTTGTGTCTTGTAAAGATTATCAAGTTCTGTATATAGGTATCGTATCTCATATTTTTATTAGTCATATTTCTGGGTGAAGGATTTCTCAGCCAATTTAAGCTAAAATGTTTGGGTTAGATTTGTGGGTGCTTCTAGGGGCAGGAGAAACATCCAGAGGGGAGGGATCAGCCCTGTGATGTGTGGAGTACCAAAGAGGCAGCCTGGAGGGTGTCTCTGCTGCTAAGTAGTAAACTTCAGAGAGAAAGGAAGAGGGGATGTAAGCAAACTTCGGGGAATGCTGAGCTCTGGGACAGGCGATTAATAAAACAGAGAAGATAAATGAACCATGCTACGAAGAAGATTTCTATACATCTGACCTCAAGAAGCCTATGCTGAAGGAGGTGAATGCTTGGCCACAGGCTGGAAAGAGCAGCAGCAGCTCTGGAGTTTCTTATCCTTGCCCACATGTGTGTGTTTGCCTCTCCTTGCTGTGCCTGACTCTGCTGGGACACCCTCAGTGTCTGGATTATGGACCGCCTTTCCAGCCCCCTTTGCCCTTGGAGTTGTGCTCTACCTATGAAAACTTAGGCTGCTGTGACCAGGAGAGAGACAACAGCATTGCAGCAAAATACTGGGACACCATGGATTACATGGATCCCCAGGGGAATAAACTACATGGAACATGCATCAAAGATATCCTGTGTTAGGTAGGAAGAAAAATAATATCTGTATCCTACATTTTGGGCTGGTTTGGGGGTCAGTTGTGATTCTGACTGCTGTGCTGCTGTGAAGGGAGGTGTGGGAGCAGGGGAAGGGTGGGCTGGCAGGGGAATGGCACTTAATCCTCAGCAGGCATTTTGCAAAGTGCTTTGTTTAAGGTGCATCACTGAAGTCTGGGAATATATAGTGACAGTTGCTAGCAATAAGGGTTTATGGAAACATTACCCAGTGAGGATGATGATTTTCCCATAATGAAAGAGAGAATTACAGATCAGTATTTACCTCCTGCTTGCAGCTGCAAGGTGCTGGATTATAAATTCTACAGCAACAAATGATAGGGGAATTACAGGCAGAGTGTTAGGATCTCTGGACTGCAGGGAGGATGTTTTTTGGCTGCTGAGGATGCTCCAAATGCTGTGCTTGTCAAAGTAAAACAAAATTTCAGAGGAAGTGCTTTCACACAGCTGCTGCAAGGTCCCAAGGCGGCAGGCACAGTGTTTTCATCAGTGCTATCTCCCCACTGCCCACCTGGCTTGTGGAAAGTGTGCAGGGAGGAAAGACCAAAGGCACTGTTCTGCCTGAGCACCCCTGAATCCCTGGAATCAGAGGGCAGTACCCTCCTGCCTTTTTAGCAACTGTTAGTCATGCCAAACTGCACAAACTGCATGCCAAAACACAAAGCAGCCAAAAGACACACTTAGTCCATCTAAAACCAAGCAAAACTCTTGTAGTTAATATTTCCTGAGCTTTTAGAGGTTTAGAGTCTGACCCTCAGCTGAGTTATTCTAGGATTTATCTTAAAAACTTAGTATGAAACTCTGAAAATTATAATATTCTTAAAGAGGCGTAGTGCAAGTTGCATGGCTAGAAAATTTCCCTGGATGCAAACCTTGCTACATGTGGTAGAGCAGCTGTTTGGCTGATGGCTGAAAGGATGCTTCCCTATTGAGAAAACTGCTACAGGAAGAGCTTAAAAAAAATCAAAAAGCCCAATTAAGCCTTGTTCAAGCTGATTGAAAGCGATAGGATGGGAGCTAGTGCAGGGAGAGCACCAGAATTTTAAAAGCAGTTTTAATCTGAGGTTTGATTTTATTGCTGAATGCACACTCTTAAGAGAAAGTAACAGAAATATCAATGTGATCTTAGCAATTTCTGGTTTGTTGGTTTTATAAAGTGATGAAATTAATTTTCCTGCATGCTTGAATGCAGACAACCAATAGTGACTGCAAGGCCACCTAATCCTGGGAGTTTATGTAGACCTTGAGGAACAGCCTCCCTCTTGTGTGCCTTGCTGGTGCTGCAGGTGTTGTTTTGCCAGGGAAACACTGTGTGGGAAGTCCCATGGCTGGAAAAGCATGGCAGCTGCCCAGGGATGCTGCTCCTCTTTTAGGAGGGTGAGCTGTAGAAGACCTTTCTGCTGCAGCCTGTTAGCAGAACAGAGCTTAGGAAGCTCAGAGGCACTGACAATATGCCTTGTTTCAGAGGAAGTTGGTTTTCTTTTTACCTTCTCAGGTTGCTGGTCCAGGAACTGGACTGTTAACACTTACTTGAGCAAAATTAAAAATATTTTCAAAGGTGCTAATGAAATACTCCAGAAGAGGACTGAGAGAGCAAAAAGACAAGGACACTATGCTGAAGCGTTGACTTTTGGGGATGGCTCTCAGGGCCTGGCGGTGCCCTTCCTCATTCTGGGAAGATGTTAAACATGGGAGGAATGGTGTGGTTCTGCCAGCTGGGACTGGGGTCAGACTGCAAGGACAGGCTTGGGGGACTTGGCTCCCCTTTGCAAGGCTGGAGACTTTCAATTTGGGAAGAAGGAGATGTTCCTTCACAGATGTGATTTGGAAGCAACAGAAACCAGGACATTCTGTGCTGCTCTCTGTTAACCAAATGGCAGCAATGAAAAGTGAGAAACCCCCTGCCCCATCCAAAAGCTGCAAGGGCTTTACTCCTCACAAGTCATACCTG